TATTGTATATAAATGTTTGAACATGATTTAAATAAGATTGAAAGGCTAATCGCTTCCATAAAAAGTGGATTAATAGATATACAATTAATCTAATAAGATTTACATCATGATAATACTACTTATATTTATTAATCTTAATAGAAATAATAATAATAATAATATTGATCATGTCAAAATATTGAAATGTGACAGACAATAACAATGTATGCCATGAAAATCAAAGATACTGACGATAATCTGAGTCAATTTTGATGATGTTACAATATTCATCTATCTGTTATAGATTGGATATCTAGTGGATTGATAAGAGTAGTTCTACTCTATGTTTTAGAAATCATGCCTCTTTTATAGATTCTATCAAAGGTGATTTCGAAGAATTTTTTTGCATTCGGTTACAACACCATGTAAGTAAGTAGTGTTTGGGAATAATCATGATAATTGGATGAGTTTCCTGATCGCCAAACACAGTATATATTGTATAAAGTTAAGATGAATGTACTTAACTAACCGAAATCTCTCCTGGTTTTCTTTCTTAGTTGCATGACATTACATAAGGAATCCTATATTTGTTCATTTATTTAGTGGATGTATGATCTTTCTGTCTATTTCCCTTACAAAATTATCGTCTCACTTAGTGTGAAGTGTTTTTCTCGTTCTCAGAATACTTTATCCCTTATAGCTAAAATAGCACATAGGTATGATGTTGTAGCAAAGTTATGCTATACTTCGCAAAATGATTACAAATCAGAAATGTAGGTCATTATGTATTCCGACTAATTAGAATGGAAGTATTGTGCATGTAACAAGACGTAATAAACCCTATGGAGAATTGTGGATACACATTCCCGAATAGTTCCAATCTAAAATGAAACAGCTATTTAGTGTAATATTCTTTCTTATGCTTCTCTAGTTGATATTCAGATTCATGAAGAAATTTATTATTAAAACATATAAATCTGCACCGCTTAAGTGAACATTCATTTATCCTTTTTTATTACTACCAATCTAGGTATTCTGGAGAAAACAACAAACATGATTCAGATTTCATTGAAGCATGTGTAAATATAGAGAAGCAACGATCAACAGGTAAGTAGATAGGTATATACGAAGTAAATGAATGCCATGATCTGGGGTTAGAATGAAGTAATTTCAATTAACCAACTACTGAATGAATAGAAACACAGAAACTGCAATGGGACTTTATGATAGCCATATATTATGACATATTGATAACTAAAGTTACGAAACACTAACTACTGACGTTCGTTCTGTAAATTCACAAATGATACGTTTATCACAAGTCTGTGTGTAGTGAGCTCAACTTTGAGAGGAACTGAGTGTTTACATGTCGAAAGAGTCATATATTGCGAAAACATAACTGTCGAATACAGGACGATCACGGTATATTTCAAATGGTACTATCTCAAGACGAAAATTAGTTAAAACAAAAATACGAAAACGAACTTTGAAACAAACATTGCGTACAGAGACGAAAACAGTACTTAAAAGCCTTCCAAAGCAGGCAATGAACCTTATCATGAAATTTAAAACGTGGACAAATATCAATCTACAGTTAAAACCCATGATGGTTTTAGTATATACGTAGTATATTTGAACATCGGTTATAATTCCACAGAGGATAATAGACAGTCAAATTCAGAGGATGAAAAGCCAATATCCGATGCTTAAACCGGGTCGATGGATATGGAGGACCCACCTAGTATTTATTTATTTTATTTATTTTAACACATAGATATTGGTACAAGGAGGCACCAAATACATATGCGCCACACAAATCTTATTCGATATGTGTGAGGGCTGTGATACTGTCCGGGTGCCCAAACCGAAGCAGGTGGTTTTCTTAGGGGGCCACTCCCCACCTAGAGGAGTTGGAGAAACATGATTCCAAACAACTGATGCACATGAGCTCCAGGATCCTAAGGGAACAAATGGTGTGTGAACCCATTGTTGGTGAACTTATACCATGGGACTGTATCTTATAACATCACTCCAATATCTCGTGGATTAGACCTCTAGGTCAAAGGCTCGAGGAGTGGTCTTCTAAGAAAACAACCTGCTTCAATCTGAGAGCACGAGTAGTATCCCAGCCCTGACACAAATCGAATGACGAAGTGTGGCAGATATATATTTGGTGCCTTCTTTTACCAATGTTCATGTTCAAATAAATAATAATCAATAAATACTCAATCACAGACAACATGGAGCCTAAGACAAATTTGCCTTAGACCAAGTTGTCATTTCGCATTACCACGGCGAGATGAAATAAATTAGGTGAATAGTAAAGGAGTAGAATGGATAAAGAAAAGACTAAACATTGAAAACACGGTTGGAGATGAAAATATGAAAAGCTGTGTATGAAGTATAATACCAGAACTGAAGATCTAGACGATGATAAAGGGTAAATGCATCTGTGCTATTGCGACCGGTTCTAAGTCATGTCACTCAATGTCTACAACCAGTGATCATGGTTATACTGTAGACCTCAACCAGGTAGTTCATGTCTAGCAATATAGTTCACTCCAACGGTGAATGTCTTCATGGAATGATGGCATCTCTTCATTTGGTCGTCCTTAGCTTTTTCCAACCTATTTCTACGTGAGCCAACACCGTTAGTTGATGTGGGAGATAGTTGAAAATACATAGCATGTGTTCCAACCATTTCAGTAAATAAAGGTTTACGACCTCACAAATTGATATATCATCTTTGCTTAGTTTTATTTATTTGAACACATAAATATTGGTACAAAGGGGCATCGAGTACATATGTGCCAACAAGTCACTTGATTTGTGGGTGGGCTGTGATACGGCCCGTGTCTTTTGAGAAAGTAACCAACAGTAGACTGATATTATTTTTTGATATGGTTATTTACATGATATTCTAATTATCTTGTTAACAACAAACTTTGTATTAAGAAATCTAAGTTTAGTAAATTCATGATATTCACCACAAATACTTTAAAGGAACGAATAGTGAAAAGTAATATTTGAAGGGCAATAATAAGTATAGAGAAAGGGTATTCAGAAAACAAGTACCTTCAAAATACTGTCAATCAAAACTGACATACAAGATTTTTTAAAAACTTAGAAGAGAGAAGGCCTGCCTAATAAGTAATTACTAGGTATTTGGAGAAATGTGAGTGGTTTTTGTCTTTATCGTTTACGCGTTCTTAGTCCAATTTCCGTGATAACGTTAGGAAGTTCCTCGTTCATCATTTGCTTTTGTATTTCTGGCTATATAGTTCAGTCAGTTTGACGGAATGTACATACCTGATTAGTACAGTACTAGTACACAATTAAGTGATAAGATGAGTTGAATAATGAAACTTTATACAGACAACTGTAAGACAGTTAGACAAAATTATACACTAAAAAATGTTTTCCATATCCTATTTCGGCTTTGCGGTAGTCAGACGGATCGAGACGGTTGAAATGCAAACTAACTATATCCCATCATCCACTTTATGTGGACATGCATGGACTTAGCACGCTTGATTTTGAAGTTATTAAAGAAGATTAGATAAGAAAAGGTTATTATAAGGAGTGTTTTAAAAAAATATGAGTAAACAAAGAATGAATAATAGAAACTAGTGATCATTGAATCCAGTGGTCTTGAGTGCTGTTAGAGGTATGAGGGCGGTTATCACTTCCCGGTTGCCCACACCGTGGAAGGGTTCTTCTGGAGGTACCTGAAAAGGAAATCGGATTAGAAGTGGTCTTAGTGACCTGGGAGCGTGACCGCAGTGCCCAAGGGACAACTGCTTGAGGTCGGTCACACACGACCTTTTTATGGGCAATTTTTGTGTTAGCTCCGTACTTGTTGAGACCTTACCGCCGGAGACGGATATCCGTGGGATAAGGCGAGATGTGCATTTTTAGGGTCGACCTTTTCTAACCCCACCCCTCCTTGTGGGAAGGCAGCATCGCTGTCATGCTGGTTGTCTGAAGGAAACACCTTACTGCTGTCACACCTCTGTACAGTCAGCAGTACGACTTCGCCTTCAGACCTTGGGTTTGTTGCTTTTAGTCTTACCGCTCTTCAACCGACCTTTCTGACATGGTAGGACCTTGAGGAACAGTTGTTCCAGTATATAGCTCTGTTGCTCTGTTGCTTCATCACGATAGGCAAGCCTGACCACCACGTTAAGGTAGCAACAACGGTCGGGAGTGATCATTGACTGATCCAATTTTATTACTTTTACTCGACTTTCATCAAGTGTTAGAGTAGCATTAATTGAATAAAATTATTATTATCCAGTTTTGCCATACAACGCATATCGCATTAATTGCTCGCTTGTTTGAGTAATAGATTGATAAAATGATCTCAACGATCATTACCGGATTAATCAGTATTCAAAGTATAATTTACTTTTTTTATGAATGTGATTTCGGTCAGAATCAAGAGCTACTAAAGTCAGTACAGTGTTCAAATCAGTAACTTCTCAAACTATGGTTTACATAATCTTTGACTAGTTTTTTTTGTACGCATTTGTCGTAAATAAGAAAATCGGAAGAATTTATGGTAAAAAAAAATAACGAGAAGACAAAACTGCTGATAGAGCGACAAATATATCAAATAAAAACTAACCCCTGAATAAGTAACAGAGAATCTCGAATGAAAAATTCAACCATACTGAGTATACACTCTTTGAACCCTATAGAAATCACTTTTGTGTTTAAGTGTCGTTACAAACTTATAAAAAAGGGTTCGTCCTAAAACAAAAACTGATTCTAGCTTGCTATGATTCATCAATAAATCGTATTCATAAACAGAAGAAAATATATTTGGTATGTATATCAGAGATGATGATTAGATACATCTTGGACGATAATCGATTTGTATTATTTTTAAATAAATTAAAAGAGCTATTCTTATTCCAGACAACTTATTTTGGTTATGACATTTTTGAATTGATCTAGGTAAAATTATTAATAATTTTATTCAAAGACAAAAAGAAGTATAAATACATAAAGATACTTACTGTGCTAAAGGCCATCTTCTGATGTTGTTGATAGTCATTGCTATTAGGTAGAGAACCCATTTTAGATCCATATTTTCCAAAAGTTAATGTGTTAGAGATTGGTGCTAATGAACTTGAATAAATAGAAGCATCTAAAACCTCACTTTGTGTACAAACAAATGGTATATTGACCCTAGTGGACCACTGATTAGGATTATGGGCATTTACATCTAAGAACCCAGAGGATTGATGATAAAGATGGTTAACAAACTGACTGAAGTCAAACATAGAAGCTGAAGATTTTGTTGAGGATTTTTCATGTACTCCAGTTGATTCATTATTATTCATACTCGATTGGGAATTTAAAACAGCATTAAATATGTTTGTCATGAACTGACTAGATAAGTGTGGAGGTAAATCATCTTGTTTTAATGCGTTAGTAATATCGGGTAGCACAGCAGGAATGGACGAAAATAAAGTGTCTGAATAGATAGCATTGTGATCGGATACCTTTTTAGCCTGTATCCAATTATCATTTGTCATCAATTTTTCTGTAGAGCCTGTAAAAGGAAGACTACAAGGAAAAGCACACGACTGTAGCAACGATCCATTTGTGCTACGTACGTTGTTGCTATATCCAAAGCTTTCAGGACATGAGTATGATAATTCTGGGTAATTGGAGTTTAATATATCTGTTTTAGATGTCAAAAACTGACCATCCGAAGACTGGTCGTGACCTTGTACAGCTTCTTCAAAACCCGGTGGAGGATAAAGATTAGAGAAAGTATTTGGACTCACGTTAAATGACTTGTTCGGATCAACATGGTTGCTTCTGTTATGTGATACTATATTAGAATACCAGGAACGCAGTTTTTCAGCTTGTGCAGAATTGAGATTAAAATTAGCTTGAGGAAGCCTAGCGTCTAAACTTGAGGACTGTGCTTCACTTGGACAGTGAGAAATGCCAACCGAAGATCCATTGGTTAAGCAAACACGATGATTGAACAGAGGTTCAGATACATTAAGACGTGAAACTTCAGCAGCTAAAAGTTCAGCTAAACCTTGCTGAGATTCTCGAAAGGGGTCAAAATCAATATCTGCGGGTTCATCTCCTAACAGAGGTTGGATATTTGAAGAATTCTCTGGATTTGGACGACACCATGTAGGGTGACAGCCATTACTGCTGGTACAAATAGGCTCAGTACGCGTAGATACTTGATTAGATGGGATAGAGCGAGGCAACAAAATCCGATTCTGGGTGGGATTATGGTGCCGGACATGGTTACCTTTAGTTCCTTCTACGTAAGATTTATCTGTATTTGTATTTTCAGACGAATTCTTGAAATGAAAAGTACCAAATGAGTTTTTTCCGAGCTTTCTAGTTGGATAATCTGATGATGAAATCGATGACGAATGATTCCAACTACTCGGTTTGTTAGAATTATTGTAATTTAGTTTAGATTTATCAGCCAATGAGGTATCGGAAACTGAGACAGCATTTGAATTATCTTTATTAGCATGCCTTAATTTACGAATCTCTTTAAGTGATGCACTTGTTTGATCAGACTGTGTGGTGCATCGATCTGTAACTTGCACGCCCGAGTTTTCTACGGATAGCATGGATGTATCTTCAAATCTGAAGCGATTACGTCCATTTGAGTAGCTGCTTGATTCACTGGTATGAGGTACTGAAGCATCATTGGGACTTGAGACAGAAGAATCTAGTGAACCTAAGATAGTTGTTTCTTCCTTTTGTGAATCAAGTGAATATGATTTAGACTGACAGAAATCTTGCAACAACTTGTTCATGTATTCAGTATGTTTTCCAGCTTGCATTTCTTCTTTAGTAAAACTAGCAGCTGAATCACCGAGTTCATGCAAGTACATGCATTCCTTGAAACAAAAATAATTGTTTGTGAAAAATCAAAATGGCACGTAAGTTAAAAGACATAATCTTGACGAAGTGGTCATGATTTAAGTACTGTGATAAATGACAAAGTTAGCTATATATTCAACACTTATGAAGCACAATCATAACCAAAAACGTTGTTGGGATGTGAGTAGAATGACTAACGTAAGCTATATCGATGAAACCTCTTACCTAGTAAGCATAACAATAGGTTTGTGAACCAATAAACCGTATAAAATAAACAACTTTAAACCTCGATGTATTGAAAACCCTCAGAAAAAAAGAAGTAAAAAGGTTAGACATATCAGCAAACTGAAAATGGTAGGTCGTTTCGAGATAGTTATTTTTTGATACTTCTGAACATCTTAAAAAAAATATGAAGGACTAATTTGTCACAATAGATGATATATATATTCGGATGTTAGATAAGTTTATCTTTATCATATCCTCAGTGTATAGTCTTCCTCACTAACAAAGCTACTATAATTATTTCGACTTTTTGTTTGCCATCATGTTAATTTCATCTTATTGCACTGATTTACTTTGAGAACTTGGGTTAATGCACATTCACCCCAAGGCCTATAAATGATTAAATGACTGAGAAGTTAATTTGTTATTAATCCCATAAGTAGCAATCAAATGAACACGCAGGTGAAACGACTAACTTATTTTACACAAGGGAAGTGAAAAGGGATACCAGCTTTTGGTATCAGTCATTCAGCTACAACGTAGGATCATGCACATATATGTATCGGTATGATAACAACTGTTATTTATCCTTTTAGGAAGATCGATTAGTAAAAACAGGCTGAAAATTATCCGTAATTCATGAAAACCCTCAATGGAGATTTCAAGAAATTAAGTAAACAGTAAATCACATTTCTGAAGTTATATATATAACAGTAATATTTAACCCGTTGTATAAACTAATTAGTTGGTCTAACCGCACAAGATAATTGGATCAGGATCTAACAGAAGCACTTAAATCATTAACGGGACGCACATAACAAAATGAATGCCTAATAATCAATAATCATTTGTTATTAGTCAGTCTGATTGATGTTTTGATGATGGTATCAGTGGTTAATGGAATTCTTACTACTAAACAGCATTTGTATATTGTTACATGGTTTAGTAAACATGAAGTTTAACGAGTGTGACACAAAAATGGACAGCTTGACTAAATGTAGGGGTATTTTCGCTTAGCTTCTAAATGGCTGATGACTCAGCTGAACAACTTATTTTTATATTTAACAATCTCGGTTAAATACAAAAAGTGGCAATTCAACCGAAAAGTCTGTGACTAAGAACAGAGAGTTGTTTGTTCATCTGTTGGATCAAACCGTTTACTTTTAGAAACGGCTTGCTTACTTTCTTCTCAAAGAGCTACCTTAACTATACTTGAATGTGACAGAATACTTTAGCACTATTCAGAATATTATAAAAACTAAAGACAGAATGAGGTGATCACGGTAATCTTTAGTGTTTAACAAAAAGCTGTATATTCCTTTTAGAAAATTACAAAGATATGAAACGTAGGCAAAATACTGATACAATATCAAATGAAATTGCTGGGTACACAAAATCCCAGTTTTTCCACGAGAAAACCACAAAATTTGAAGTGTGGAAAGTCGCTTCAAGTTAACGAAATGGATTATTAAATTACTTAAACCTCTACATTCTACCCAGTGATATATGAAATATTTTCAATAATTTGAAAACATGTAGCAGAAACTACAAAATCCTTGTTAAGTTGTTTCGTGAGTGGCTTTTTCAGTCAATGCATGATCAAACATAAATTTGTATTGAGTCAAGTTGCTAAATCTGAGTGGCTTTTTAATGGTATTAGAGTGACCGGACTTAAAAAGTAGTATTGTACAGACTTTCGAAAGACCGAAGTTTTGTTTGGAAACTTCGTTAAAGAATGAAGTATTCTCTATATAATCGTTCGAAAGGGTAAAACACATACAGTTATGCACATATTGTAATAAAGTTGCCAATATTACGTAAAGTACAGGATACTTGTAGTAAAGATAAACTTTATAAGGAGTTTACTGAACCTTGAATAATTTCCTACCTTGAATCAAGTGGCGTAGATACAATTACTTTATATCCCAACTAAACTACCTTCTGATTAGAATCAAGTACTTTGTCGAGCACTCACTAAAATAATATTACATAAAAAAATAACCTAGCACTAGGATGTCAACGAAACCAGTAATAAAGTTTACGGTACTAGCTTATCATCTATTTTAAAGCATTCTGATGAAACGTACGTTTTGGTTATTCTTTCCCAAACACTTAAAACTGTATCAAAACAAGAAAGAACTGGGCAGACATTTTTTATTAAAATATGTAAAGAAAAACAGCGGACGATAAACTAAGCAAATGACAAAATCTACTGATTTTACAAGTCAGTACGGTAGTTTCTAACTATTTGCATTTCAAAGACGACTTGTTGGGTCTATAAATTTTTTAAGCATATGAGAGAAGTCTGACAAAACTAATTCTCTGCATCCAACTGCAATTCAGAAAGTGGATGACAGTTACACAGAACTATTCACAAAACCATGTTTTAAACGATTATGAATGATTTTTAACTACAATAATAGGTTGGAATCATGAAACTCACATGTTTGGTGCATTTTGTGCCCCTTAAAAACTGGCTACAGTACTTTGTAGTTCCAAGTGATACACGGATTGGTCTTCCATGTAAAGTGCTCTGATTAAGATCCCTTATAGACCGCATGGCATCCTCAGCCCGATAATATGTTATATAGGCACTAAAACTAGGTTGACCCTGAAAATTTCGAGAGAGAGGCGACATAAGCAATTTGCAAAATATTTTTAAGACACAAGTTTGAAACAGTCACCATCATTTATTAAAAATACCTGTGGTCCACCGAAAGTTTGGTTTTGATTAACTTCCACTTTAAAAATTTTCCCATACCGACCGAAATAATTCTGACCTTTAAGTATTTCCTTGTCTTTTGAGATCCATGTGGGTAAACCGACCACAAATATCAGATTTGGCTGAACAACTCTAGCCAACAATATCATTCTTTGATAAAAAATTACCTTAACTCTGGAAGGATTTTGAGCATTTCTGGATTAAGCTTCGTCTTCTTTATATAATCCTTGCGTCTTCTACTTGACCTACAACGAGATTCCCTAGGAAACGAGTAGATTCCAAATTCATCACTTACTCAGTCTCCGAAATAGGTTTGTAAGATGCCGGTTTTTCTGAATTATATTCCTAAACAATTCTATACAAGCTGCTGAGCCTTACCTTTCGACAAGCTGGACAAAGCCCATTTTCCTCGTTAATTATCTTGGCCCAGCAAAACCGGCATACCTAGTCATTATGACGGGATAACTCATTTATTTACCTGGTACCGGCAATCACACGGGTAAAATGAGATGTCATCTGCCTCCATCGGTTCCATACATAAGGGGCACTTAAGAAAGGTCAATTAAACTAAACAAGTACCATCTCCTTCTCCTCCGTGCACATTAGGATTAAATTATAATCCCTACTCTGAAGATCAAAAATAGTGCCTTCAGAACTTTTCGTAAGAAGCGCTCCCTTTTAGAAGAATTTGATATGTAACCAATATCCAATCTAAATTTTCTGGTGAATAAGTGATGTAGGCACGATAACTTCTAGATTTCAAGTATTATTGACGGAAGTTATAAATGACTTTGTAGATTAATTTCACCATGAGGTATTTTTGTCCCACAGGATTCAGGAACTATATGGCTTTATGGAAAGTCTTTAGGACCAGAGCAATATCACTGAGTCCTAGCCAAACCATTCATCAGCCAGGTCATTGAATTTCCATCACTTTTTCTGTCTTCATCAAAGTCAATGGCGACAAACAGACACCAATTAACGACTTCCTATGTACGGGCGGATGAAATAGTTTTTCCCTCCCTGTACTTCTGCTAACAGTTAATACTAATATGTGATGGTGCCTACTGAAACTATTTGTTCCAACCAATCACCTGGTTATCGTAACAGAATAATCAGTCTAAATGTTAACTGGGGAGTGTAGCTGCGACACTAGCTAAGAGGTCGTACTATTCCCGCCCAACACGAGTAGACTGGTAGCTATCGATATATTACATGTGCTGTTGATTTACAAGTCAATTTTGCATAATAAACCTTCAGTGTGTAATCTTGAACATAATCCTAAGAAACACGACTTCTGGTAAAATGGGTTTTATAGGTCGATAAAATACTGCTATGCTACTGACACATCCTGCGAACTCAAGTGATTACTTGCTACCACATAAGTGAACAAAAACTATTACGGCTAAGATTCGTATAGAAAACAAAAGTGTAGCGGAAGATCAATTTGAGCGTTAGCCGTAAACCAACAACCACTTTCACTACTAATCTTAAGAACTAAGACATAAAATTACTTGTGGTCTATTTATCTGGTCATCAGATCAACTTAAATATACCGTACTGGCTGTAGTTGACATTAACAGATCAGTAATTTGTGTACTCACTTTACTGTACTAATACACTAACTGAATCAACGGACTACTAACAAGTTACTTTTTTTTCTGAAAATAGGAAAATTTTTGGTTCAAGTTAACTTTTGCAATGCTAAGCTATTTTGCTGTTTTATCATCTTATTGTTGAATATTGGGTGAATCTTTGTAACGGTTGGACACACTTATTCATCACACCTCTTTTAATGATGTAGTGCAGTATGGCGTATAAGGTAATTAGTTCTGAAATGAGTATACTCTTTTAAAACGTGATTTAAACTCGGAAACCGCGAAGCATAGTGTTCATTAGGGATGCTTGCTTTTCTATAGGAGTAAGACTTTGTTAATCCAAAATGTTCTTGGTCTTTTGTCACTTGTGGATAGGTTGACGTTGATAATGACACCGTGATCTAACCACGAAACAAATGAAATTTGAAAGTTTATAAATCTTGATCAAAACACATGAGATTCATGAAGTGCGACATTTTACATGGTAGAGAGCCTGTGAATTATGATCGGCTGCAATTAAACGCAACTCAATTTCGTAAATGTGCCTTTCAGCTTAGCTACCAATCAGAATGTGGCGGGAATTATTATATCCGCCATCTTTGTACGTAATGGCGGCCGGCTTTCTTCGTTCTGTGCTTCTTTTAGCTATTTCTTTTGTGTAGCTGTGTAATTAATGTTTCAATGTGCTAAGATGCCGCAGTTAGTGTAGGGTTCTACATGTTGGTGTGAAATTTACTTCGAATCAGCATTGTTTTTTGGGTTTTTGCTGCTTCTACTCTAGTCAATGTATTTCTTCAGTCAAGCTGGTTAGTCATATGTTTTAAAATGAAAATCGGTTTAGTTTCGACTTGTTTTCAAGATATCAAAAGCCGAAGTTCGTTTTTTGTTAGCTGAAATAACTGTTGCTGCGTCCTGTGACTGACTGTCCGCATGTTCATTCCTAACTGTCCTCTATGATGTTATCGGCAAAATGAAAGGAAACAATTTCCGGTTTTTAATTTTCTTCAGTATTGCGGAAAACAATATCCCACCAATGAGTCAAACTAATACTTAGTGCCTAGCAGTAGGGGATGTCAGTATTGTTTTCGAAAGTACTCAGGCTTCCGACAACCATAGACAAATTCACAGATGCTACCAATCTATTGCAGAGGGTTTGTTATGAAAAAATATGCCACATAGCAGTAATGGAGGGATTGTACGCATTACGTAGTGCGTTAAAGCAAGCTTAACATTGAAAAGCCGGAAATCTGCTATCAGTGTGTAGTGTATGTTTGCTGTTTCGGCCACAAAAGGAAGCCGAAGGGTCATGATCAGGGAGTAAAAAGGTAACTAACTGTTATTAAGCTCAGCTTTTTATAGACCATAATTCACCACTCGCAAATTTGTTATTTTTACGGTATGATGTCAACCGTTATCTAATATGTTCACCTTTATGATGAAAAGTACTTGCAAATTCTCAACTTCATATTCGAATTAATTTGTGATAACTGTCTTCCAGTTTGAGTGCTTCGTACGCCCTGGGAGACTAGATTCCTACATTATTCAGAGTTCCAGTATAACTTTCTCACACAGTAAGTTCAAAGTAAACACTAGTCTTTCTAAATAAGCATGTTAAGCTAATATCCTAAGCTAATATTCTTAACACTTCACCCTCTATATACGCACCCTTCTTATAAACCGCTTTCCTAGTAACAGCCTTGACTTCCTTTCCTTCATGTGAGCTTACTCCAACTTGTTAAACATCACAACTCATTGTTCTTTATTAGTACATTCTATAATATGGAGCCTCTGACTTCATTTTACTAACAAGACATAATATGAATTTATTCTAATTTATTATACCTCTGTCCGTTCTACTACACTATGTTAAGCAACGTTTTGCGTTCATATCCAAGTGCCTTGCTGCTCTTCTGTTTCTCTTTTTTCTTCAGAATCTTGCTCTGAGAGCACGGCTATGAAACCTCTGACGTTTGGAACAAACTTGATGTACGCGTCCTCCCAAGGTCATAGTTTGCAGCAAGCGCTCTACGATTTCACTTTATAACAACTATAAACTTAATAAGTTGGGAAACATTTTGTGAACCAACAAATGTTGTAATTTATAGATCATGCCTGTAAAAACGGTGTGTACCTGCACATGCAGAAATATATTATTATATTATATTATTATACTTCTGGACATTTTCTTAAACACCTACTTGAGCTTAGTCCCAGAAACTAGAGACACGACATAGCAGAATGGACTGTAGACGCAACTTCTACTCCTTAAGAGTTGTCGAATGCTGGAATTCGCTGCCCGCCGAACTAGTCCAAGTGACTTCCCAGGAGTCATTTGGGAGGCGACTGGATCTTTTATTGTTAACATACCTAGGTTCCTGCTTGGAGGTTTTGGTGATCCCCTGCTAATAGACATGGAAGCCTGAACACATGAATTAGGTGATGAGAGGCTCGATTATCACAAGTTTCTTGCAACGATTAAGTAGATAAAACAAAGTAGCATTAGGTTCAAAAATTTATTCGAGAACTTTCATTAAGAATCGAATATGAAACAAAGGTTTAAACCAAGTTCCAGTCTAAAAGTTGCATTTGTAATGTTAAGCTGCATTTTTTGTTGTTTTTTCCAAACGAAAGGGTAAAAGAAGTAACTCAAAAAGTACTGGAAGTGGTTGTGAGATTAAAATGGACATCCAGCATCCTTTTTATAATCTGCTGTTAGTTGGGTCTCCCGTAAACAGATCCATAGGGCCATAGTTCTAAGGGCGAAACAGTTCTTAACATCTGTGAAGACTCAGTCCTGTTGCATTCTAAATGAGAAAACAGTAATGAATTTGGTCAGAAATGTGGAATAGATAAATGACCAAATTACATGTATTTTAGCAAAGAATTTATGCAGTTGTGATTTACCTTTAGTTCATGAATATTAGGTCAGGTTGTTGTGCAAAGCATAACATGGACTTAAAACCGTATCTCAATGCTTTTATTATTTTGCTCTCATTTAAGTATTACCATGTATCTGCATCTAGTTTAACAGGGAGACATACAAGCAGAGTTAATGTTTGATGAACTAAAAGTCCTAGTTGTCAAAAAGATTCTTAACATTTGTCCACAGCCAGCTGCATTTAATTGAAATACAGAACACTCATCTTCTAAGACTGTATACTGCTCTTCTACGGGCAAATAAAAGCTCAGATACTTAGCTATCCTGCTACCGATGTTATTGCTGGGGAAATTGTTTAATGACAGTGATCATGAAATATGGTCAGTGATAGATGTACAATCTAGAAATAAACACCAAACATACTTATCGCTATCTTATAATGTATGACAGCAACAGTACCAAAAGCACTTTTTTCCTAATTTTAATCAGACTGATTTGAATCAGTATACTCATCAGAAACAGGCAACTCTACTTACTAGGCTGATCTGTTTCGTTACAGACTTCAAGCACTATACCATAATTCTTTCAACTAAACTGAATTATACGACAACCAAGAATACTAAACTAAGCAAGTGTCATAGTTATTGTTTCATTTGCACAGGCATATTGCTTAAAGTAGTTAAATGGACATAATTAAGACGATAAAACAAAAACACGGAATATAGGCCAATTGAACTTACCGAACAGAAGACAAAGAATATATATATTGCTTTCCGACTGAAAACAACAGGCAGTTGTTCATAAAAACATAGTTTATAGTACAATAAACCTTTCTACAGTAAAATCATGCACTGACTGTCTATCTGGAAACAATCAACTATGTGAATAAACTCACTATGACTTGAGATATCATCCCAGCATGCAATGAACGTGCAGTGTAACGCAGTCGAACGTGGCGAATAAAAATATAAAAAAAGATCAAAATTGGCTATATAATCTAGTTATTTAATTAAAAATACATTATGAAATGTCAAAATCTGTGGTTACTTGAACGCACAGATGACCGGTACATTAAGTTTACATGGTTGCGTTGCGGATAAGATCACCCTTATGATCTAGGTCGGTATTAAGAGCTTTTCGTGCCTATAGGTAACCCTCGTGCTATTGATAGGAGAAACCAGAGAAGTAGTGAATAGGTCTTTATTTCGA